GAATGCAGGGTGCCTGGGTGGCTCAGCTGGTTAAGCGACTGCCTTCGGCTCAGGTCATGATCCTGGAGTCCCGGGATCGAGTCCCACATCGGGCTCCCTGCTCAGCGGTGGGTCTGCCTCTCCCTCGGACCCTCCCCCCTCTCATGCGCTCTCTCTCTCTCTCAAATAAATAAATAAAATCTTTAAAAAAAAAGAGAGAGAGAGATAAAGAATGGAGAAAGGGCATTTCTAGCAGTGCAAACAGCAGCAATGTAACAGAGTCCAGGGCATTCAAAAAATTGCCAAATAAAATGGCACTGAACAACTAGCTGAAGAGGAAGTAGAAAAGAAAGGCAGAAACAAGATCATAAAGGCTTCCTAAGAAATCAGAACTTTATTCTGGTGGCAACTGAGAGACCTGGAGTAGTTTTGGGGGGGCAGAAGGTGGGGCGTGAGGTGCGGCAGCAGTGCAGCAAGAAGTCAGTCCAGAGGCAAGGAGACCAGTTAGAAACCTATTTCCATATCTTGTTAAGAAACAATGAAGGCCCAAACTACAGATGGGGCATCAGGTCCAGAAAGACGTAGGAGATGAATTTAAGGTATAATTATGAGAGATAATCAACTGGACTTGGTAGGTGTAGAAGTATACCCCACCCTCTATGATTCTGGCTAGATGTGTAAATAGGTGGTGTTGCCCTCCAACAAGTCAGGGAACTTCTTTCTGCCTTACCAGGAATATCATACCAGCAATAGTAGCTCAAAGGTGCACTGATGATGGTATTTAAAACCTGCCACAGAAGTAGTTTAGAAATTATTCATAAAGAATTGAGAAGGACCACAGAGCTATACCAGGGCGCCTCCTGACCCAAACTGTGCCCAGGCAAGTACAAATATATATATTCATCTGAACCCTTTCAAATATGTATATTCATCTGAACACTTTCCTCTCTCTACTGAGCCCTTTCCACTCCAACTTCCTCCTGTGGCAGGCTCCTAAAATTCCTCAGACATCCACTATCGGCAATATCAGATCCCTGAAACTCACTCCAAATAAAAACATCCAATGTATGTGTATTTTTAAAAAGTAAAGGTTAAGAGAAGGTTTAATTCTGTTCAATTACAACTGCCACATGCCACACTGCAAGTCACTTTTATTCACAAGTCACTACCCATATAATTGCCCAGGAACCACTGGCATGATCTATCATCATTTTTTCCTAAATGGGCCCAGAAATAATCACACCCTATTCAAGGTCAATTAGAATAGTAGATTCTCTATTTCATTACATTTTTCACTACTTTAAAATATATGTATTATTTGGTTTTATATTCATCAACATTAACAGTAGGAAAAGTAACAAAGGATTAAGTATCAATTTCTTGGAGAATATAAGAAGCTTCTCTGCCTGAAAGATGTTCAGAGAACACTGGATCTCAGAGTAGCAAGGGAACTTAAAATTCAAGACCAGCTACTCCACAAATGCTTGAGTTCCCATTCCTTCTACAATACTCCCACCTAATATTTACCGAATATGGATCTGACCTCTTCCAGTGAGAGGGAACATACGAATCTCTTTGACAGCACTGGCTAAAAAGTAAAAATTAATTCTAAACACAGATGCAGAAACCAGCGGTTGAAAGCATGATAAAGAATAGAATTTTTAAAATATAATTTCACAAGATCTCCCCACAATTACTTACTCATTATAAAGGAGAAAACTTCACAGTGGAGAAACCTAGTGAACTGAGTGAGCAGAGATCACCAGTAATGTGGTAAGCTGACATCATGTGCACTGTAAAGGACAGCTTTTTTGTGGTGTTCCTAGCAAAGAGACATTCCTGAATCTAATCACGAGGAAACCTCAGACAACTCAAATTGAGGGACCTTGTGTTTCAAAAATGTCAAGGTCAAAACATACAAAAAGGGGCCAAAGAAATGTTCCAGATTAATAGCGGACTAAAGGTACATCAACCAACTGCATGCATGATACTGAATCAAATAAAAAAAGAACTATAAAGAAGATCATCAGGATAAGTGATGAAATGTGAATACTATACATTAGATAACAGTATTGTATCAATGTCAAGTTTCTGATTTTGATCACTGTACTCTGGTTACGTAAAGAATGCTCTTATTCTTAGAACATATAAATTGATGTACTTAAGGCTAAAGACAGGATGCTTGCAATTCATTTCATACAGTTCAGGAAAAAAAGTGTGTGTGCCTGAGGGTGGGGAGAAAGAATGAATGATAAAGTAAGCAAATGAAGCAAACCAGTAATAATCAGTGAATCTGGGTAAAGAATATAGGAGAATTCTTTGTCCTATTCTTGTAATTTTTATGTTGGAACTTATATCAAAATTAAAAGTTACCCCCACCCCTAAATAATGTCACATAATGTTATATAAGAATACTGGAAGATGTGTTAGCGCAGTTTCTTTGAAGAGTTCAGGTGCCTACTCATTGAAACTGACATATCCCAGATTAAAATGTCTCATGTGAACCTTTTCTGAATCATCTGTATCTTCTGGCACTTCAGCATATCCAGGTTACCATTTACTAAATGTTCTTAATTGTTTCACATGAATTTTCTCTCTTGACCTCTGTTTTTGCAGTTTTTACCCTAAAGGTGAATCCACCACTAAAAAAGCAGGCCCATATTTGGATACCCCAAGGCAACACTGTTGGATAGCTGAGGTGCTGCAGACAACAAGGCACATGTTTTACCCAGAATCCAAGCTAAGTCAAATTTATTCGCATTACTGCAGCTGTATTTTAATGCCTATATGTATATGTGCATATAATGTTTCTGCAATGTATGCTTGAGTGTGTGTGTGTGTATGTATATATGTGTGTATATATATATATATATATATAGCTGATCCTTGACACCGGTTTGAACTGCACAAGTCCATTTACATGGATTTTTTTTTTTTATAGTATAATACCGTAAATGGATTTTCACTTCCTTGTGATTTTCTTAACATCTTCTTTTCTCTAGCTTACTTTATTCTAAGAATTACAGTATATAGTGTATATAACATATAAAATATGTGTTAATTGACCATAAGTGATTAAGTGCGGGGGAGTCAGAAGTTATTCATGAATTTTTGACTACAGAGGGGCATCAGTATCCCGTAACACCCATGTTATTCAAGGGTCAACTGTAATAATAATATGAATATATGGAAAGTTATATAATCATTTCTACTCATCTGGTTAGCAAACAACTATACTTAAAATATTTAGTGTTAATAAGTGAATTGAAGAAATAAGCACCCCTATTCACTTTGCAAGGAATGCTGGTTCATTGCTACCATCTTGGGAGAGGGAAGGGAGAAATAATTTGGCAATATCAACCAAAATTTTAAGCATGCACACTCTGACCCTGCCATTTCACTACTTGGTGATAACTTACTACTCAAAAATAATTCCACAAGTGCACAAAAATTTCTCAATGCATGCATACAGACACACATATATACCTACATACACATACACATACATACATACATACATACAGTTACACATTCGCACACGTTTTTTGTTTCTATATTCATCAATAACAAAGGTAGAAACATCAACAAAAGATGAACTACCAACTGTTTTCCCTATCCCTGTACCATGGATTTTGCCTGCCAGATGAAGTGAAGGAAACTCTAACAGTGAAAGGAAGCATTGTTTGAAATAGTGAAATGCTATCAAAAATCCATGAGTCAATGAGGCCCTTAAGAAATAATTATATATCCATATAATATCATGCTATAAAGCCATTAAAGAGAACGAGTTAAATCTACAAGTAGAGAAATGGGAAGATGCCAAAGTACAGTATTAGTAAGGGGAAAAATATTGTACAATATAGGTACGATAAAATCCCCTTTTTGTTTAAAAAGATTTTTAAAAAATGAGTTTGAAATATACCAAACTATAAACAATGATTACTTTGGGGTGTAGATCTACAAAGTCTCAATAGTTGTAAAAACAATTCTATTAATACTTGAATTTTCCTAATATTCTTTACTGTTTTCTAAGTAGATAAAAAGATCTATGTTAAAGTCATCAAATTTAAACGACTTTGCCACAAATACCAGGACATGCACCACTTTATAATACTTAAAAAAAAAACTCGAAGAGATTTTAGTAGCAAAACCATTTTTATTTCCCAAATAAAATCCTATTGTTTATTATAATGCTAATAAAAGAAATTAAAGTTGATTGGAGGAGGTGGGCTCTACCCTCAGCCCCCACTCTTTGACCCATGAGAAAACTTATGTTCACAGAGTCAGAGAAAATGTGAAGAATTTAGCAACAAGTAAGCCAGGCAGAAGGTCCCTTACTATTAAAGGAGCTTAGCCTCAGCACACATGGGTGCCTGCATCTGTTGTATCCCATTTTTACCATTTCTCTATAAATGGCAGACCTGTATCCGTTATTTCACACATGTCCAAAACACCTATCTCACTTCCCCATCCTCTACTGCTATCAGTTCACAGTAACAGCAGTCATTAGCAGGTCCAACTGTTCCCTCTTCCAACTAGATCTGCATCCCTGCTTGAAAAGCCTGAAAGGACGTAAGTGTTCTGTCATTAGCTAGTCACATAAATGATGGCTACCTTCATTTTAAAGGACTTGAAAAAGTCTAACAGAATAGGCTAAAGAGGGGCGCCTGGGTGGCTCAGTCAGGTAAGCATCTGCCTTCGGCTCTGGTCATGATCCCAGGGTCCTGGGATAGAGCCCCACATCAGGCTCCCTGCTCAGCGGGGAGTCTGCTTCTCCCTCTCCTGCCACTCCCCCTGCTGTGCTCTCTCTCTCTGCCAAATGAATAAAAAAAATCTTTAACAAAGAAAAAAAATAGGCTAAAGATTTAAAACATAAATCTGAAAAGACCCAGTACTGCTACAGCCCACCACCCACAGACCCTTTTATACAGACGGCAGCCCATCCCTCAGATACAGCCCTTGCATTGGCCTCTGGGCCTGAGTGGTCCTGTCTTGGCATCTCTGGTTGACCCTTCTCTTACCTTGGACTTTGCATGCCAAGTGAAGTGCAGGAAATTTGTCTCACTGGGTACTAACAGGTTAAAGGATAGAGCATAGTGACTAATAAGGTCATTTCTCACATAATAAAGTTCTGCATCAAGACCTAGGGAAAAAAAAAAAGAGAAAAAAAGAATTAAACACCTAAAATGCACTCAAAATCATTAACCATCAGTATTTCAAATACTTTAGTAAGAATGAAAATAATATGGATGTACAAGTGTACATCATAAATGTCTCTTACATATGCTGTCTAATGAAGCAGGTAGGACACTGGGCTTCACTATCATCAATAAAGAAGAAGAACCTGGGACTCAAAACAATTAAGTAAATATCCAACTAAACAGAGGTGTGCTAGATCCAGAACTCTGGGAGCCACTGTCTTCTGAGGATGAACGTGACTTCCTTTTGGACACAGTCCTTCTCAGAGTAATGCCGACAAACGAGAGTCCCTTCTCCCACCAAAACTGATGGAGATTTAGGAAGAGAGATTAAAAATAGAAGGGAGAAAGATATGTAGTTTTGTGAAAACATTAGTTTGAGCCACGGCCTCAAGACCCCAGCCAGAGATGATCTCCCCTTCCTCATGGGCAAAGACATCCTGGCCGCTAGCTCTGACAGCATTTACCATCACACACTCACACCAGTAGCCACAGCAACACATGTCCTCTCCCTCACCTTATACAACAAGGTGGAGAACACCAGATTTCTCCTCATATTCTCAGGACACTTCTCTGCACAAAGCAGACGCTCAGGAAACACCTGTTAAACAAGTCAGTTCTACAGATAAAGCAGAAATAACTGAGATACCTGAGAAATGCTGGAGAAGCAACTCCCAAATTTTACTCACTCCCATATCATCTTTTCCATCAGGGCCACATCCAACCTCCAACACATACCACATTCTCCAATTCTGTCATCCCCCGTTTTCAGTAGCAAACCTATTTTTATTTCCCAAATAAAATCCTATTGTTTATTATAATGCTAATAAAAGAAAGTTGATTGGAGGAGGTGGGTCCTACACTCTTTGACCCATGAGAAAACTTATCATGTTCACAGAGTCAGTCAGAGAAAATGTGAAGAATTTAGCAACAAGTAACATTTAAACATATTTAACATTTTTCTTTAAAATCGATTAAATTTTTTAAAACAAAAATTTTAAAGGCAAAATTTAGTCACTCTCTTGAGTGGAAAATTAGGAATCATTTTGAAAAAATACAAGGTAGCAAAAAAAAATCACTTAAAAGGAAAGCAAAATATTACTAAATTCTAGCTAAACACTGGTACCTAGCAAGGCAGTGAGTGAGCTTGAGTCCAGCTCACTACTTACAAAAAGGAGGGAGGGTATTAACAAGTATTTGAAATAAGAATCAAATAATCCAAAAGAACCGAATGAATAAAAGCAGGGTTACTGTCTCTCAATTGATTTGCTGTTATTTTAAAGTTGTGCCTAGGTGTCCCCCTAGTAATGCATAACATATATATTCCACACATTGGAGACAAAGGGTACAGGGGAGATCAACCATTAGTTGGAGATCATCTCATTAGTGAGTCTATACTGTGAGCCTGAAACCTTACGGTATGCAGAGGTCAAGATGGAGATCTCACAATCATAGTTGGAGACTAATACCATTTCAGAAAACAAAGGATCAAAACAGATAAAAATTTAGTGTGGATATTCTGTCACCAGCTGGACTCCAAAACCTGACCTTTACTACGCACCTGCACGTACCCACCGACCTTTTCCCACATTTTTAAGCTCTTCTTTCCAGCTTATCTTTTAACTCAAGCAAAGAACCCCATAGACACAGCATCCCGTGAGGGAAACCAAAACTACCCCTCAAGCAAAAATGACAGCCCAGACCACCCAGACCAGTTTGAGCTCAAACCCCAACTCACACCTGCAGACAAACCACTGAGTGACAGTTACATTTACTTCATTATAATGCTAAAATCTTTGCTCCAGGAGAAGCACAAGCCTCATTAACATAACATGCAATGTATGTATAGGCCTGTTTCCTTAACTTTATGCTCACCTCTACATACAATGACAAAGCTCCCCTTTTTTAATATTCATCCCAACCCTGAATAAAAGGAACCCATTCACCCTTTCTTGGGGAATCGCAGCTTTGGAAGTTATTCCCTGTGATCTCATTTGCTGCAAATAGTTTCCTTCGTGTGACAACTCCACCTGGCGTAGTCTCTTCTCTCCCTCACCAAGGTGCGAACTCAAGTTACTTTGGTTACGATATTCTTTGAACAATATAAGTATGGGACATGAAACAAGGGGGTTGTAGGGGCTCTTTTAAGCAACAGGTTTGAGCAATGGACACTTGGGCAAGGCAAAACGGGTCACAGAGACCAGAGAGCTGAAAGCACACAGGCTCATTAAGCAATCCACCTTGAAATAGCCATAGGCCCTAACTGACCAGTTACAAACAGGCACTGTTCCTCAGATTACCAAAAAGGGAAAATTTCACTTGTCCCCACACTCCCTCACTCTGCCCTCAACACTGTGGCCCCTTACCACTGCCTAGTGGCAGACAGTTTTCTGCGGTCCTGCCTGGCGCTTCCCTTGCAGTGTACTCAATAAACTTCTATCTCTTTTTTTCTGCCTTAGGTGAATTCTTTCACTGCCCCACTGCCAGCCTCCACCCAATAGGGACACCCTACAGTTGGTGCCCCCCCATCCGATAAACATTCATGGGGGTGTTAATCATGAGTTAGACCACACACATTTTTTTAAAAAATGGATTCTAACTAGACATAATATAGGTTACCTTCTCAATCAAATATTATAATAAAGAAATTAATTATAAGATAAGGGTAAAGCCAAAAGATATTTGAAAAGTTAATGAAAGTTAAACCCTTTGCAAAACTGATTAAGAAAAAAGACAGAAAACACTAATTATCAATATTAAGAATGAAGAGGAAACATTGCTACAAATCCTACAGATGTTAAAAAAATAGAATCTTAGTATGAATAACTTTGTGACAATAAATTAATAACTTAGATAAAATAGAAAAATCCTTGCAAAACACAATTTACCAAAATTGATAAGTTAAAAATCCAAATAATAAAAATCTCCCTCCAAAGCTCCCCCCAAAGCTATCAAACATTTAAGGAAGACATAATACCAATCTTGCATAAACTTTCAGAAAATAGTCAAAGAAAACACTTCCTAAATCATTTTACAAAGCCAGCATCACACTGATATTAAAACCTGACAGAAACATAAGAAAATAACAGATTGACATCCTCATGAACATAGACATAAAATTCTCCATAATAATTAGCAAACTGAATCCAGCAATATACAAAAAGGATAATTACATCATGATTAAATGTGTATGAGAAGTTAACCTTGAAAAATCACTAATTCAAAGAAAATCACTAATTCACCACATTAAAGGAATAAAAGATAAAAACCCAGATCATCTCAGTAGATGCAGAAAAAGCACTTGGTAAAATTAACGACAAAAACTGTCCACAAACTAAGAATAGACATAAACTTTCTCAGTCCGGTAAAGACCATCCATAAAAAAACCTACAGCTAACATCATACTCAATGGTGAATTATTAAATTCTTATTTCTAAGATCAGAAACAAGGCAAGGATGTCTACTTCCACCACCTCTATTCAGCCTTGAACTGGAGATCCTAACCTATGTCTAAGAACAAGACAAAAGCATAAAAGTTGGAGTGGATGAACTAAAAACTCACAGATGATAGAATTATGGGTGTAAAAAAATACCATAAAGTCTACTAAAATACTACTAAAACCAATTCATGAATTTAGCAAAGTCTCAGAATACAAGGCCAATATAAAAAAAAATGAATTGTATTTCCATATACTAGCAACAACTGGAAAATATAATTTAAAATCAATACGTAACAAAAAACACCAGTACCTAGAAATAAATCTAACTAAAGATATGTAAGACCTCTACTCTACACTAAAAATTGCCAAACATGGCTAAGAAAAATGAAAGATGACCTCAATAAGTAGAGAGATATCATTCTTTTAGATAAGCCTCAATAGTCTTAAGATGTCAAGGTTCTCAAATTGATCTACAGATTTAAAGTAATCCTAGTCAAAAATCCCAACAAACTTTTTTTAAAAGACAAATTAATTCTAACATAAAATTGAAATGCCAAAAACAATTTGAAAAAGAAAAAACGTTAGAAGACTCACATGACCTGATTTTACAACATGATTAAGAACTACAGTAATCAAGACAATTCAAGACATGATTAAGAACTATAGTAATCAGGGGCGCCTGGGTGGCTCAGTTGGTTAAGCAACTGCCTTCGGCTCAGGTCATGATATCAGGGTCCTGGGATCGAGCCCCGCATTGGGGTCCCTGCTCTGCGGGAAGCCTGCTTCTCCCTTTCCCACTCCCCCTGCTTGTGTTCCCTCTCTCGCTGTCTCTCTCTGTCAAATAAAATCTTTAAAAAAAAAAAAAAAAAGAACTATAGTAATCAATCAAGTAATCAACTAATCAGGTAATAAAAAGACAGACATATCAATGGAACAGAACAGAATCCAAAAATAAACCTGCAAATATAGGTCCAATGGAATTTCAACAAATATACTAAGGCAATTCAATTAAAGTGATGCTAAGGAAACTGGTAAAAGTAAAGGGAGAAAAATCTTGACCCTTATTTTACATATCACACGAAAACTGATTTGGGATAGATTAAAAACCTAAATGTAAAAAAAATAACAGTATAAAGCTTCTAGAAGAAAATGTAGTGAAAATCTTCACAACCTAGGGTAAATAAAGATTTCTTGGACTGGTCACACAAAACATGAACCAAAAGAAAAAAAAAACAGATGAACTGGTCATCATCAAAATTAAAAGCTTCTGCTCCTCAAAAGACATTGTTAAGAAAATGAAGTTCAAGTAAAAAACTAGGAGAAAAGATTCACAGCACGACTTTCTTAAAAAAAGGACTTGTTTCTAGATTATATAAAGATCTCCTACAAACTAGAAAGAGAAAATACAATTAAAAAAATTGGGCAAAAGATGCGAACGTACATCTCATAAGAAAATGTATGAAAATGAAAAATAAGCATATGAAAAGGTGACAAACATCATTAAT